ATTCCCATAAACCAATGTTTAGAGAAACATAATAGAAACTTGTTTTTTTTATGTACACATTAGGGCTGCAGCTATCGAATATTTTTGTAATCGAGTACTCTAATCTTTTATCGATTAATCAAGTACTCTAATAAATTACCCTTTTGTGTTTGTAAACCATTATATCAAATAGCATGTTATAAAATATGAAAACCTCTTAAAATGAGCAAGCAATTGCCAGTTATTCTTCCAGTTTTATTCAAAATTAGTTTTCAAAACTTCAGAACTTCAACTTCACAGTAAACAAATACCTGTGCAAAAAATAAGTATACAATCTGAGCCGATTTTCCCCTCGTGCGAGAATCTACTAGCCTGGCAAGCCAGAAAAACTAGGAGGATAACTGCTGAAGTAGCGCTGTGAGTAGGGATGTCCCGATCCGATCACATGATCGGAAATCGGCCCGATCACGTGGTTTCAGACTGATCGGATGATCGGGACTCGGGCTTTACTTCCCGATCCAAGCCCCGATCCGGACTGGATACTGGGTTCAAATTACAGGAGAGCAACTTGGTTCTGCTTAAAGGTTGTCAGGCTCCCCTGATGCCCATAACTTACACACCCAGAAGGAGCACAAAAGAGATCCAGTTTCTACCTATATTATATGGACTCAGCGTAGTTCTTTTGAGCAGAGATGCAGAGAGCGGCAGGCAGACCGCTGATTATTCATGAACTCCAGCTGCGTTCTGCACACAGTAACATTTTCTAAGTTTCTAAGTGGCGTCACCAAAAAATATATAATTAGCACACAGTCATTCGTGTCCGTTCATTTTCTCTCTGGTAAGTTCTGTCTGTATTTGAGCATGACGTGTGGCCGCGCTCGCGCTAACCCCGCTGCAGCGCTCGTCACTGGCGCAGCCGGGTAGCGCGGCGCACACTCCGCTTTTTTTGTGGTCAATAGATCAATTTGATCTGCTAGTTAAAAAGTTACTTGTGAGGTGAAAAAGAAGGATGCAGGCAGGAGTTTTTCTGGAGGACTGGGAGATGCAGGAAGATCAGAGACAGACACGACAGGAAAATAAAAACCAAGAAAATAAAACAAAGTTCTTAAAAAATAAAATGTAGGTAGATTGATCCCACTACATGTTTGCACCATGGTTTGTACCTGTATAACGCAATAATTTATCAGCATGTAGTAATTATATATTTGATACAATTCAGATCATCTTCAAAGCTCCGTCCCATGACCAGGGACATATCTAAGCATTTTGGGGGCCGAGGCAAAATAGACCCCTGCCAGGTATTTTAAGTTGAAGCGCTATCTGTTTTTATTTTAGACTTTTTATATTTGCAATAAAGTCCAAAAGTGAAAAATTTATGTTATTTATTACTTGATTATTCAGGCTACCTCACAGAAGTGATCTGTTGTTAAAATTTAAAATAAAAAGGTAATTAAACAAAAAATAAGGAACATTCTGAAACTGTTTCTTCCTTTTTCTTTTTTTTTTATGTATTGAAAGTATCTGATCGGGACTCGGTATCGGCAGATTCTCAAAATCAAATGACTCGGACTAGGGGGCAAAAAAATCTGATCGAGACATCCCTAGCTGCGAGCAGCTGCGGCCCAAACGGCACCAGAACCGCTCACGGCACATGCGCAAACAGCTCGCCAGCTACTTCCCTATTAACACACGTCCGTTTTAATTTCTACACTGTTTTTTCTCACACAATAACAAGGATTGTCGAGAAAGCATGTTTGCTGTGGTTATGTCAAATTATACTGATCACAAAACATTTATTTACTTTCTTTCGTTTTCCTCCACCACTCTCATAAATACCTGTGTCCTCCTGCAGCAATCCCGAGGGACAACAGACATAACAACACAATAAAAAGTCTGACTTATTGTGTAACAAATACTATTTTTAGCACATTTTTAGGTCCGACATGTTGCTACCAGACAAGCAGTGTGAGCTGAAACTGAGTGCTACAAATGAAAAAGTCGCACAGTGTCCGCAGAACATATAGCGGACCTCCGAGTCCGCTTGCAGAAGTGACATTTACATGTGCTTGTTTCCTGGTCAGGTGCTGCAGCATCGAGGAATGTGGTGTTGTGGTAGGCAAAATCCATTTTACAGTATATACACTGGACTATGTTTTCCGCCTTACGACGTGAAAAATGGTCCCACACCTTTGACATTTTCTGTCTTTTTCGCACTCCACCAGGGTCCACGTTGTCTGCCATGGCTTAAGAGAAAGTCAAGTTATATTCGCTACTCACGTGTGCATTCAGTGCAGTGTGTATGTGCATCACTTATTTCGGTCTGGGTGAAACATGACCCGGGGCGATTGCAAAGCCATGAATTAATTAAACATGAATTAAAGGGACTATAAGGAAGTTTGACAGTCAAAACATGTATAGAAATAATAAATTTCTTCTTCATACATTCTCCTGCAATGCCCTGGTCCTGTAGAATGAGCCCTGGCATTTTTACTGTGATTCCATTTTTCTGTAAAATCACAGAAAAAGAGAGATGCTCGGGTCGAGCAGGCTGCTTCATGCGCGTTCACGCTCAGGCATAGCCCGTAGCATTTGCTATCCGTAGCTTTAGCAGCAGAGAGTGAGGTAGTGCCAACTCAACGACTTTGTCGCTGTTCCAAACGCCTAGTGATGAACCTAGCTACATTTCTGAGGACCCTTAGCTACTTTCTGTAGAACAATCTTCTAGATATTTCCTGCAAATTAACAACAAAATAGCTATTTTCGTTGGATTGACGTTGTTTCAGCTGTCATTAAGGATATAAATGTTACAGATGCAATGAATGTCACTGGTGCTTTAGCTCATCTAGTAAAACGTCTGACTCTCAAGCAGAAGACCTGGGTTTGATTCCGGGTGTAAACACAGTTTGTTATTTGGAGTTTCTTTTTAACATTAATGATATTTTTTTAACACCGCCCAAATTTTTTAACACCGCCCAAATTTTTATTTGAGACTCGCCGAAAGGCATTGAATTCACGGATAAAAAAAGTTGTGGGTTCAACTTTCATTTTGGAACAATTTTTCAAGCAAGGAGGGGGAATGATCTGAGCATGCAGGAGGACTGACCGTCGCCCATCATAAACCTTTGTCGGCTGTGCTGAAGAGAAAGGTACAGAACCAAATTATTTATTAATTAGCTGCGTGTTCTCCTGTCCTCTGTCCTCCGGGCCACACACACACACACACACACACACTGCATGTTCGGCTGGCCGACGAGAAAGTGCAGCTGCAGAGATAGAAGCACATTATTTTTATTAATTTGCTGTGTTCTTCTGTCCAGGACACACACACACGGAGCTGACTGTCTCAGATGTTATTTTCGTTAAGGAGTGTGCACGTACAGCATGCGCGCCTCATGCACAAGCCTACTATTGAAGCTGCCATTACGCTTTTGGCCTGAAGGGGCAATCGCGAGGATAAAAACTCAAAAGTCCAAAAAGTCCCTTTAAAACGAAGCCTCGAGCCAGAGAATTTGACTCGAGGCTTTATTATACTCTAATTATTTGAGGTACTCGAGGAATCGTTTCAGCTCCAGTACACATACATAAATCACTTAGGCTTTTAGTCATTTTTGTGAGATTTTTTTTTTTTTTTTTTTTTGCCAAACCAAGTGTCGTCAGCTGAGGGAGTCCTGTCAGCCTAATCAGAGAAAAATGTGAATTCTAATGCCGGCTCTGACACAGAGGAAACTTTAAATGTTTATAATTCTGCTTATGATGGACCAAAACCGTAAAGCTTATGAGTTTGCTGCATGCCCCAGAGAGCAGAGAACAGAGCAGAGAGACAAACCAGAGGGAGAAAAGATCGGCCAAAACAGAGGGATTATGCTGCGATGTGAGGAGAAGCAGCAGGGGAGCAGCAGGTGAATTAACGATGCTACCTCAAACTTGTGTGCTATCATCACAATATTATACAGATTACTATCATGTACCAGACAATTAAAATAGCATTGGTCAGTTAATATAATATTAATACTTGACAATAATAAACTAATGAGCATCTGTCAGCTATCTCATACTCATTAATATCCGTTCACGTAACGTAGTTTAGTGCTTAGAGAGAGGGAGAGAGACGCCTGTCATCCGGTTCTGGAGCTCATGCGGGCTTCTGCAAGCTGGATCCGACCCAGAAACCAGCTCAGCTGGCTCACAGGTATTTTTAAAAAGCCACGCATCCTCTCCTGGTGATCCAGGCGGTGGTTCTGATCTGGTTCCGACCCAGACACCAGTTCCACTGGCCTGCTGAGCCACGCGTCTTTTCTGGTGGTCGGTTTTGACCTGGTTCTGACTGTGATCTGAGTTCCAGAAACCTGCCTTTAATTTTTTAAACCCCACCACGGGTCTTCGGAGCCCAGCGCGGACCTCCCTGTCCCAGTACCGACCGATGTGGGCTACGGATGTCCCGTCTTTTCGGCTGCACAAAAACACTTGCTTTCAGCTAAGAGGTTTTTGTATTTTACAAGAAAAAAAAAGAGTGTCTTTGCTTTTCCAATTCATGAATACCTTTAAACTTTTAAAATGATAAAAACATCTTCCAGAGTCATATGACCTCCCATGATGCTTCACAACACTCACTCACCCATTCACACTAGGGATGGACAATATCGGTATCAGCCGATGTTAGTCATTTTTTGACATATCGGTATCGGTCTGATATTTAAAATCGAGCTTATATTAAGAACCAATATTTTTTCCATCTCGTCTCCATTTGTTTATCTGTTTCAGAGGACGAGGTGGGTGATGTGTATATATTTAGTCATGTGAATAGTGATTATAACCATCTCAGAAGCGTAAATGTGTGTGTGGTGTGTGTACATAATGTAAATACAGCTTTAATAAATTTCATTCTGTACAAAAATCTGCTGATTTTAGATGCATTAATGTCAGTATATTGATATCGGCAAATATTGGTTATCGGCCATAACAGTGATCTTAATATCGGATATCAGTACCTGCTCAAAAATTTCATATCGGTGCATCACTAATTCACACACATGTATAAATATCACACATGTATAAATATGTGAATTCACATGCTGGTGGTGCTGAGTTACATTTTGGCCACAGCGTCCCTGGGGCACGCTGACAGAGTGGGGGCTGCCAGACAATGGCACCACCATTCCCTCCGACCACTGCCAGAGGGTAAGGAAGGTGAAGTGCCCTGCCCAAAGAAACAATGACTGTGACAAACTGAGCAGTATGAGAACCTGCAACCCTCCAGTGAATGAAAGAAGCAGAGATAAATGTGTTTCTGTTAGACACTGATTAGGTTTTATTCTTTTTCTTTTTCAGAAAATATGGGGTGAAAAACATCATCGCCACAGTTACACTGCTGGGAATTCTTTTAATAGTTATTTTTTATACGGAGCCTGAAAGTGCTTTTCCTGATGATTATTTCAACACAACCAGCCTATTGGAGACATATGCACTCACAGAAAAAAATGCCACCACCCCAGAACCAGAAACACAACCACCAAAATGTGGGCCAAATATGAATGCAGAGAATGTCAGTAACTTTGGATCTCTCTCTAATCAGATTCAGGATTTTCTTTACTATCGTCACTGTCGCAGTTTTCCCATTATCCTGGACCTCCCTCACAAATGTGGACGACCAAATAAGCCCAAAGACATCTTTCTACTGCTAGTTATTAAAAGTCCCCCCAACAACTTTGAGCACAGAGAGGTGCTGCGCAAGACCTGGGCTAAGGAGAGGTCACATAATGGGAAGAAGATTCAAACGATCTTCATTTCAGGAACAGATGGTTATGGATATGACAAAGAAAGGCTGAACAAACTCCTTGCACTGGAGCACAAACAACATGGAGACATTCTCCAGTGGAACTTCAAAGAATCACTTTTCAACCTGACTCTAAAGCAGATCCTTTTCCTGGAGTGGATGAACAGACGCTGTCCACATGCTCGTTTCCTGCTAAATGGTGATGATGATGTCTTCGCCCACACGGACAACATGGTGAAGTATCTTCAGAGCCTCGAGGACAACAATGGAACCAAGCATCTCTTTACTGGGCAAGTAATTGAAAACGCTGGCCCTATCAGATGGCCGCAAAGCAAGTACTTTGTTCCACTTCAGGTGTATGATGGAAATTCATACCCTGCTTACTGCGGTGGTGCGGGTTACCTCATGTCTGGCTACACTGCTTCAGTCATTTATGAGAAGTCAAAGTCCGTTGAAATACTTCCGATTGACGATGTCTACATGGGGATGTGTTTGGATGCAGCAAAACTTAAACCCACCACTCATATGGGTGTGAGTACACTTGGATGGTACATTCCCTCCAGAACGGTTGACAAATATCACCCTTGTTTCTTGAAAGAAGTACTTGTGATACACAAATTCTCTCCAGCTAGTTTATATATTTTGTGGCATGAAGTACACAACCCCAAAATCAAGTGTGGTACTCAACTGTTAAAATAATGAAAATCTCTTTCTTTTGACATTTCACCTGGTTGTATTTTAACCCTCCCACTGTCCTAACGGGTGTGATGACCCCATGAAGAAAGTTGACCATTGAGCAGGGTTGATGGTTTATCTCTTGGGTCCATGTGGCAGGGGTGAGGAGTGAGCACCACCTCACCCCTGTCATGTGGACTTCAAGGGATAAACCATCAATCCTGCTCAATGGTCAACTTTCTTCGTGGGGTCACCTATAAAGTCAGTGGGAGGGTTAAAAATGTCGATCCAATAAATTATTTTGTTTTTAAACTTACGTAATTTTTATTCTCAAATGGACATAAGCACAATAACACTGAGGGATATAACCAAAACATGTAATCTGGCACTACTAAGAATTTTGTTAGGAACATAGCAATTTTGAAATAGACTAGTTAACCATTTTGTGAGACATTCTCTTGAACAAACTTTGATCGCTCTGACATCACACAGTCTCATCATGAAGATCTTTTATTTAATCACAAGTTGACACAATTTCCCAAAGTCCCAATGAAATGTTTTTTGGACATTAATAATCAGTGCTCCTGCATCTTTGTATAAAGGAGAAGGAGACAAGAGTCTACCAACGTGAATGAGAGCCTGAAATGCTGGAGTGAGTGTGTGCATGTAAAACTGTTTACCCATGCAAGCATGCGGGAAACAAAATTGCTGAGAAACTGACATTCTGGTGTTTTTGTGTGTGCGTGCGTGTGTGTGACCTCAATAGTAATTTATAATAAATGTAAAAAATGAAGCTGACTAATTAGCAGATTTTGTCTGTTGTTGTTTTTTTAGAACATAACTCCCACGATAAATAAGAGGCCACTGTAAATTATTGCTTTTATATGCGTTTGTTGCTGTTGTATGTTTTTGTGCTGTGAAATAATTAATGTGTAAATACTATAGAAGTATGTGTTGTTGAAAAATATTACATTGTTTTAAGTTATTACAATAAAAGTTAACATATCACAAATTTTGTATACACGTGTCGTGAACACCATAATTTTGTCACGTTGAGGAGCAGGAGGTTAGGACCCAAGATGCAGATCCAGGATGACACGAGGCAGAAATGTTAAATAAAGAAGAATCCTTTATTTTGGATGACAAAATAAAAATCCAAAAAGGGCAGGAGGCAAAAACCCAGTAACAAAAATGAAGAAGGAATAAATCCAAAAGCTCACTTTATGAGCAAAGTACCAAAGACCAAGAGGGAGAGACAAAAACAACGCTGACATAAACAACAATGGACCAACAAGACACTGAGACAAGACAGGGCTTAAATAAACTGGGGCATGATAGGAGGCAGATGAGCTGCAGGTGTGTGGGGAGAGGACCAGGTGAAAGCAATACTTAATCAGGGAGGGAACTCACATGACCTAAGAAAAATCCTAAAAACAAGAAAAGCAACCACATAACTAATATTCTAAAGGGAAGAAGAACTACAAAGACTGGTGGGACAAAACATATAAAAGAGACTAATAAAATGAAAAGCTGAAACTATAAACACTGCAGAGGGATGACTGGAGAAGACTAAAGGAACACAGGACCTGAGAGATATATTTGGAAGGCTGAAGACCAGGGGACAAATGAGGAACACAAAGAGACACATAAATGAGACGCAGACAAAGGACACATGAGGGTGCTATGAAACACAAAAAGAGAACCTGGAGTGGGAACTGGAGGGGCTGGGGAACAAAGGGACACAGAACATGACAAATTTTAATTTCATGACACATGATTTTGTATAGTGTGTATTTTTATTAAACTATTTTTGGGAATTATAACAGAAAATATGTCTTTTATTGTCATTATTAAGTAGGGCTGCACAATACATTGCTTATGTATCGTCATCGCAATATCAGCATGCGCATTACGCATATTGCAAAGAACAGAAAAAACTGCAATGAATGTTATAACAGCTGAAATGTTTGCTGCACATAACACATTTTGTCAATCAAACGAAAGCATGACGTTTTTGACAAATCAAATACAGCCCTTAACACATTTGGCCAATTGGGTGAGTTCTTATCTTTGGTAACGTCAATGTTTATGTTCCTCGCATTGCATCACGAGAATGTGTGGCCAGAAACAATATATTTTGCCGATAATTTGGTTGTTTTGCATGTTTGGAGGAGAATTTAGCAAAGCAGGTGGATCTTTCTTGCTGTGTGGTTGGTTGTTCGGCCGTGGGAGGCTTGATTAAAAAGTTTTATTGGAATTTACTTCGTAAACAATCGCAAAATACGTAAGAGATGATAAGAAGCCACCAGAACTGTCCGAAGAAAGCCTGGACTCCTGCAGCAGCAGACAGATTGTGAGGCTCTTTGTTCATTTGTCCTTGTGACTAAGTATTAACTAGAGAAGATGTTTGTAAAAACATTCATCTTCGTGTATTGTTAAATCCACAGAGTCATGTTATTTTCCCGTGCTGATTCGGGAGTCTCAACCCACGATCATTATAATAAAAATAAAGAAAGATATAAACACACTGATTAGTGAAGACTTACACGGCTTTGTAGTTGTAGTGAGGATTTATCTGTTTTCTTTGGCTGTCACCCACAGGTGATGTAAACAACGCTGTGACTGCTTGTTGAAGTTGACTGCTGCTATTAGCATGACCACAGCTTTCTGTTTTCAAGAGAGATCGGCTCAGCTTTCCTTAAAACTAATTAATCATAGGCCTCCAGATGTTTGAAAGCCTTTAATTTTTTGTAAGTCAAGGCTCCAGGGCTTTCTATTGAATAGGAATAAATGTCTCCCCAGTAGATTTGTGAAAAGAACACAGGCGAATGGGACCAATGTTTTTCATCATCTCAGAGCTCATACGAATTTATAATAACTTTAATTTTGTCTTTAATACAGATTTTAAGCTTCTCTTTAAGTCTCCTTCTGTCTTTAGGAGGTTAAATGTTTATATATCAGGGATTTCGCTTGCAAACTCTCTTAAAGGTTTTCATCGCGTATTGACAGCAGGTCATTTTGTGTGGGTTTTTTTTTTTGCCACCCAGCCCCTCACGTGTGCGCACAAAGATTTAAAAGGTTGTCAACAAAGATCCTCCTATGGGTTAGAAACCCGCCCCCTATGCAGACGGATCTTAATTTGGATGGTGAGTAAACAGCTGAGTTAGCGTTGTTCTGCTCTTTCTGCTCATTCTGCTTCTCCCGGGATCCACTGATTTCTTTTTCTTTTTCCCTTTCCTCACATCTTTTGATCAGAATTTTTGCTTTTCCCATTTTTTATGATATTTGTAGTCATTAGAAATTGTTTTCTTTGTTTTTGATTTATTAATTTTTTTTGTTTTTGAGTTAAGTATTTGTTTATTTATTGCAAATCATATCGTCATCACAATATTAATCACTTATTGATCATCGCAGGTGTTGGGGTTATTAGGAGCGAACAATTTGTAAGCTTCAACTTACTTTTGGATTCTTCAATAAATTCTGTAAATATGAGAATATTTACTGATTTATTAATTAATTAAGATATTCTTAGATATACGGGGCACCATTCCCTTCAAACGGGAAAAAATTGAATCCAAAACTCTTATCAGTCTTTCTTGAAGTTCGTAGAATCCTTGGAGCAGAGACTTCTCTTCGACACAACAAAGCTACGGGAGGCAAAATTCTGAATTTTATAACGTTTAATTAACAATTTGTCAAATGAATAAACAATGGAACAAATGAATAATAACCACGTGATATGATTGAAGATGGATGTTTTTGCGTGTGATGGAGGATGTATGAATGGGGTCCTTTGTTCTCACAAAGGAGTAGAGTGTGTGTGTGTGTGTGTGTGTGTGTGTGTGTGTGTGCGTGTGTATGGATTCAAAATGGAGTCTTGAATACAAGATGGCTGACCCCTTTGTCTGGCTAAAGTGGGGGTGGCAACTTGCACTTTAACTTCCAAAGCACTTAGAACCAGTAGTAACTTAACCTTAAATCACTCAAAACATTTCAAAATGATCATGAAGCTTCACCAAAGATTAATCACGAATTAATATCTTTTAGTTTAACCACTTGGCCATAGTAGGAAACATTTAAAGATACCAAACAATGATTATTAAGCAGTTTATTCTTTCAAAATGACCCGACGGACGTGTTTGGGAACAAAAGAGGAAAACATGAAGCTACTTTTTAAGCAATAGCGCGGTTTTATTGCTTATTCTGGACTATAGAGGAAACGGAAGAAGAAGGAGAGAAAGAGATGAGTTTCTGATCACCAGAAGAGCGAAGCGTCCCTCACTCTTTGAGTTGACGGTTCTCCGTGTTTCTCCGCAGTTTGGCGTCGTCCGTCGGTTTGATGGAGTTGTCGCTTTCTCCGTGAGTGTTTGGCGTTCTCCGTGAGTGTTTCTCTACGGGCTGGACACAAAGAGAACGAAGTTTCTTTTGTGCTGAGTTTGACAACTTACAGCGTCTCTGAGAGCTGGATGGAGCTCCGCTCGTTCCCAGTCAGATCCTGATGGAGTTGGAGTGGCTTTGTAGCGGTTGCGTGGCTCAACTTGGGCACTTAGAGCTTCCGCGTGCTCAAGGGAGTCGGAGCGTTCGACAAGCGTGTCCTTACCGCCAGGTATCCTGGGCAAAAGAACGAAGTTTCTTTGTTTCGTTGATGATTTATAGCTTGAGTTCGCGGGAAAGCGTCCATGAGCTCCCGCCTCCCGCAGAACGTGTTTCTGGTATTAGGCGGTGACATCATCCCAATGCTTACGTGTGCAAAGCATCATGGGAAATGAAGTTTCTTGGCGCTGATGTGATTATTTGCTTTTCAGAGCAATTTAAGCACAGTCATTTTGGAGAAAATCACTGCATAGTAATTTCCTCATGAGGTCAGACCCTCAACACAGGTTTTCCTAATACAGTATAGTACTACTGTTAAGTTAAAGTTAAACCTGAATTTTTACAGCAGGTCAGTTGAGCAGAATAAAACATTTAAGTCCAAGAACACTAAGCCGTTCCTCAATACTCAACGGCCCTAGTACGTTCTTGTGTACTAGACAAGTACATTCTTGGCTGGGACACCAGAAAGTCTGTTCTACCAAGTACGAGAGGACGAGTACGACATTTGGAACAGAACCGTACTCTGTTGTGTCCTGGCAACACGTGCTGCTTCTTGCTACAATTAAAAAAATGACCTGACAAAAAATAAAAGTCTTGTTTGTTCC